TATAAAGAAACCTACAAATGCGAATAGAAAAAATATCAAAATCGTCAATAATCATAAATAGTAGACAACGAACATGATAATCTAGGCATACAATAGTCAAAAACCAATACATAATAGTCAAATAAAAAACCTAACTACTCGAAAAGAAAAACATCAATACTCCACACCAATATATCCACAAGGACAAATCCAATAATACGAACCACAAAATGCAAACAATCAAACTTTCAATCTAGTAAGAACCCACAAATAGAAACATTCATCAATCCAAAATAACAATTCCCACAATACGAACAAAAACTTCAAAGGTCTAGACAACTATCATCTCCAATTCACATGGGCATAAAAATATGCCATACACAATTGTTGAAGTCAAACAACCAACCGGGACGGAAAACAACGACAATATGTTTAGGAAAACACCAAAGTTCCTACCATTGAATGAATCATCTAAGAAAGCTCTAACCATCCAAATATTAAGACAAAATATGTTTCGAATCATCTATCCAACTCTATCTATCTAAAAATAAAATGCAGAGACATTGAAATCAACGTAAAACTCAACCAAGCACCATAATGTTAAATCTTCACACTGGCATACTCCATCAAATAAAAAAAAAAAAAATAGGATGTTATAGTAATGCTTAGAAAAAATCACATTTATGTCTAGGCAAAATCATGTTGTGTATTAATAAACAACACATAAATTTCAAAATACAATGGAAAAAAAACAACGACAAACAGTACGTGCAGTTGTTACACCCAGGCACAGAGTTATCCAAGATAAATCCTTCATTCTTCCACTAGCATGGATTTCCATCCTATATACCATGAGTCCAGTTACAAATCACTTAATTGTAAATATTTCTTTTCCTAGACTTCTATACAATATCCAACAATGTTTAATCAACCTAACATCTACTATAGAAATAACTATTCGACATCACATCAAGATTGTCTTCCATGGATGTATAACAAATTAAATGTTTGCACGACAACAACATACTTTGGGGGAGTAGCAATTGTATTGTACTTGAATATGTAAGTGGATTCAACAAATATGTTGTGAATAACGTACTTCTCAACAAAGACCCAATCCAAAACTATATTTTTCCTAATCTACTACTTGATAAACAAGTAGCACCAAGTTCAATCAAGGAAGGAAACAAAAATAGTAAAAACCTACCTACATGCTCATCGGATGATTGGATGAAATAAACCTACAACCAATTCTCATTGAAAATCATTCCATAGCAATAAACAAGTAAAAAATTATTTTTCTTTGATCCAAAATTTTCTAAATCACCGAAACCCTAATGAATAATTCACGAATAATTCTTTGCACACAAACCACATAAAACGAATGGGCATCTAGAACAACCATACCAATTAAAAGTGGGGAGATGTCAAAATCCTTACCTAATGGCCAGCACTGGAGGAGGTGTTTGCTGATGAAAGGACTTGACGATGCAGCGATCAGAGAAAATAGGAATCGCTCTCAATGCTCTAAATTTCTAAGTGTTGGAACATAATCCTTTCTCTCTTGTATAGGAGTTTTAATATTGCTCTGTTGCCCCTCAATGTTGACAGTGTGAAAGTCCTTTCAACTTTTTTAACTTGTTTTTTTTTTTCTGATTTATTATTGAAAGAAATAGAAAATATTATTAAAAAAGAGATTTTTTATGATATGTAAGCGTAACTACTGTATATTGATCAAAATTTTGTCGTATTTGTAATTTTTATGGAAAATTTCAAGTATAAACTAAAAATGATGCGTTGACTAGCAAAAAATTCTGTTGTCACTGAAAATTAATAACAAAAAATATCATTTTTTTATGTTATTGTTACGACATCTTCCCGTGGTGAATGCTTTTTTTGTAGTAATTTTAGGTCTATTGAATATATTTCGGGTCAATCGAATATAATTATTTCCGCATATAATCCGATTCAAATTTAAATTTTTATCATATCAATATATATATTCTGTCAGGTTTCAAATATGGTGCTGACCCATTGCCACCCTAAAACTCGTACTCAACAAGTGCCAAACTTTGACAAAGCACTATCATCACTAATTATTAAATTAATGCGGATATGAAATTGATGTATGATTGTATTCTTATGTACTTTATTTAACCCAATTTAAAATTCTCTTAGGGTAATTCTTCATAGTGCCTTATTCTTTAATGACACATAAACTCCCTCGTAGGCAAAGCTCATATAATGATCAAACTATGGAGCAGCGTTTGCAATCGAGAGATTGTTTTATTATTTTTTGTGTGTTTCGAGGAAGGTCGTGCAGTTGAACAAGTCTTATTTTCTTTCTTGTGAGAATTTTGTTCATTTATTCACTAATTTGTTTCAAGGGCTTGCCTTATCTACTATCAACAACTGTTCATGTGGTTTCTATTATGCATTTATTAAGTTTCCGAATCGTAAACTATGATGTAAATCGTGAATTACCAGATTTTATATTCTGATTAATGTAATTGTCAGTATATAATCATGTCTGCCTAATATTTTAATTAAAAATTCTTATTGCTCACTTTTAATATACTAAATGGAATCTAGAATGCTTGTGGTGGAAATTAAGTAATGATAGGCTCTTTGTTGCATGTAGTATATAGTTCAAATTGAGATTGAAAATGATTTTTGCTTGAAGAAATGATAAGGAGTTGCTTAATAATTTAGAATATCAATTCAAAGGAGAATATCCCAGAGAAGATTGGGTTGAGTCTCTGACAATTGGTAATGTTTTTAGTGTATATAGAAAATTATGAGTTTTGATATTTGAGATGATGATTTAACATATTATGATATGCTGACACGATTATGTTTTATGTTGGTGTAAATTTTTAATTTTTTTTTTTTGTTGCTTGGAGCATTGGGCTTTATTATATGTCTCTGTTGTTCATAAGAACATATACTACTCTAATAACCTAAACGTTATAGATGGATAGACAAAAGATTCATTTTTCTTTGAGAGACATTTTTATTATTTTCAAAAAAATTTCAAAAATCGTTTTTACTAGATACACGTTAGGTTACTGAATATTCAGTTGAGGCGTCTCCATGTATGAAATAACTGGATATCCAAAGTTGTGAACTCTTCTCAATATTTTATATGGCGTATTGGCCCCTTAGATTGAGTGAAAATGCATGTGAACAACTTGAAAAACTTGAGATTTTGGATAGAATGAGAAAACATATTTTGTGTCCAATTCTTATTACAAGAGGAGAATCAAACGGTTAACCACACGAAAGAGAAGTTAAAGGTTGTTTTTGATGAAAAAAAACAAAAAATTCATTTGAAGAAAGAGAAAACGCTAATGCTGAACCAAATAAAAAATGTATTAAAATGAATGCAATGAAACATGTTGACATGTGAAGGAGAAATTGATTGTATCAGTATATGATGAATTGAATAAATTGTTGCATATGATGGATTAAATGGATGAATTGAATGCGAATTTATTGTTAAATACGATGGATTGAATGTGAAGTTTACATACTTTTATTATTCGTTTTGATAAATCTATGGAAAACACGCTTAGAATGCGTTTTCTGTAAAAAATATTATTGTGAATAGTATTGACAAAGAATGATTAAATTGAATTATGTACAATTATATTTGAATATTACGTTTAAATGCTGGTTTTAGAAGATAAATAGAACAATATGCTAATTATAGAACAATAATATATTTTTTGACTTCTAGTATAACAAGTATTTATTATTGAAGATAACCGTAGATAATCTTGATTGTAAACAATAAAAATACTATTCACAATATAATAATATATTTTTATGTAATCAATAAAATATTTTCTTTAATATAGTACATGCTGATCAAACACTAAAAAATTATATGTATTCACCATATATATTTTTTTCATCATGTGATTTTTTAAGTTATTTATAAATCCCACATTTTTTCTTCACTCCGGCTGCTATTCGGTTTATTACAAGCATGCACTTGTGTTTTCTAAAATATAGATCGTGATTGTTGTTGTATTCAAAGTATGTTACTTTGTATCCTCCATTTTGTCTGTCCAGTTGAAGACTTATCTTTGAATTACAGTCTCTTCCCGTCTCATGATTACGGTGTATTATCTTGATGTTACCTAATTTGCTGGATTCTTCTAGATTTAGTTTGATCTGATTTCAAAATTGTTGTCTTTTTTGTACTCTCCTTCGGTGGAACAATATTCAATGTATTGAATTTGATACAGATCCCTTTTGAATTTTTTTCTGTATTTTAATCATAAGTGAAAACTCCCTATTATGTGCATACGCACAATAAAAGTTGTAGACATTATCTGATTTTTCTCATGTCGTAGATATAATCTACCGACCCACGTTTTTCAGGTACATTCAACTTGAATGGTACCCGAAAGTCTTATGATTTTAAAATTATGCATTTGCAAATCTGTTTTTAAAAATTTCAGGACTCTCTACGGGAGCCGAAAATAGTTAGAGTCTCCACCGGTTACAATCGATCTCGTCCATCATCGATATTTTTGTTGCGCCAAATTGCGTGAGAGGAAATTGAAGGCGTGAGACGATGAAAGAGATTATACAAAACCCTGTTGGTTAAATTACACTATTCTCCTTAAATAATACAAACCATCAACTTATGATTTACAATATAAAAGCCTAGTAAACCTGTGTTGACGATGATGGATCAGCAACAGATCCCACCCCTTATTAAATATTGATGAAAAGATGTTTAAGGTTTGTTAATAAAATGAAGATATTACAAATGCTAAACGAAAATCACATTCCATTAAGTAACAACATAAACTTAATTAGTAATAAAGAATTAAGACATGTAGAATAATAAGTTACAGTGTTTATGGTCCGGTCTACCCATCATTGCGTAATAATTACACTCAACACAATGAATCACATTTACCCATAAATATATAAATTACATTTTCATAGAATTTATCATCCCTCGCCTATATTATTTTATTATATTAATTAATCCAATTATCCCATTATTTAGGCCCGGCCCGGCCTGTGGCCCAACCGTAGCCCTCCCCATTCGTCAGCAAATTCTGAGTGATTCCATAAACCTGACCGTCGGGCACATCGATGTGGTGGCGCTGACGGTTATTCTGAAACTGCTGCTGCCCACCGACACCTCCACCGCCGCCGCCGCCGACCATATCGTCTTCCTCCAGCGGCAGCCGGTCGAAGGTGGCATTCATGAAGGTTGCAGCCATGATCACCACCGGCCCGGAAGCAACCAGCGCCCCGACGACGCTGCCGCCGACGACCTGACCCTGGACTCCGGCAAGGTACACCGTGAGTCCGGCGACCCCCGGCGGGGCCGGCGGGGGCAGCACGGAGCCGGCCAGGGAAAGAATCTCGAACCGGCCGTGGAGGGTAACGATCGAACCGGAGGAAGACGGCGGCTGCCGGAGCGTGACGTTGGTGACGCAGCCGGTGGCGCTGAGGACGCAGACGCCACGCTGCTTGCGGCGGGCGAAGCTGAGGAGGGAGTCGCCGACGTCGCAGCCGGAGGAAACTTCCATGGCGTGGGCCTTGAGGGCGTTGGCGCTGTCGCGGGTGATGATGATCGGCGGCTTCGGCTTGTTCTTGGAGCCGGCGGGTCTGCCACGTGGCCGGCGGGTGGGTTCTTCGGGGACGGGCTTCGGGAGCTTGGGGACCATGAGCATGGCTCTGGCGGAATTGTTGAGCTCGGGAGCTTGGTCCAGGACTGCCTCCGCTGGTCCGGCCATAGTTGGGGGGTTTAAGTAGGATAGGAGAATGGGTAGTGGGGGCCATATTTATGCAGAGAGAAATTAGGGTTTGATATGATTGGGGATTAGGATAAGGTTAAGTGAGGGAAATTATAGATTAGTGAAGCATGATTCATGGGCTTTCCTAACTTGTAACTGATTTTATGTTTCATGTAAATTGCCTTTCCCAACAATCATTACTATATATCTATGTATATGTATATGAGAAAATTGCAAAAATATCCACACGGTATACTTCATTATCATTTTTGCCCTATATTTATCTCGCTGACAAAATATATCTCACATGTTTGTAAAAATCATTATTTCAATCATTTGGCCGCACGTGGCCGTGTGTGATTGCGTGTAAGGGCGCGTAGACAAAAGACATAAATAGCGAGTTTTGTAAACATGTGAGATATATTTTACCAGAGAGATAAACACAGGATAAAAGTAATAATATGATATAAATGTGAGATATTTTTTGCAATTTTTCCATGTATATATATGTATATATCACCATGCATGGGTTGGAGCTAGTGGATGGATTAGTTACATAGAGCTTAATTAGTGTTGTTTTGGATGTATATATACTTCATATGTAGGAGCAATATAGGGTTTGGTGTTATATTATTTTGAGGGCGATTATAGTGCAAATGATGTATGAATTGTAGATATATATAATATATAAATCAACACAACAAGTTATATGTAAAAGTAATATAAATACAATGAACTAACAATATATATAACAATAATTAATGTAAATACATAATTTCGTAACACACATGTGAAATATAATGTGCAACATATGATATGAATTGTATTAAATAATATTATATATTGTCGGCTATATTTATGTATTTATTAGAATTAATTAGTACAATATTTATTAGTCTAATTAATATCCTAAGCATTCTCGGATAACTCCGTGAAAATCATTTGCACTTCCTATATAATGTACTCCCTCCGTCGCAAACAAGGTGCAACATTTACTTTTGGAATGAATTTTTAGGTGGGTAGTATTATATAGGATAATTTAGAAATTAGGTGATGCGACGGAGAAAAAAATATACATTTTATTTTTTTATTTGATGATGGGAAGGGATAAAATATGGGCAGACATTAAGTATAATTAATTATTTTCTATTTTGGAAATGTTGCAGGGTGTTTGAGACATGCCAAAAAGGAAATGTTGCATTTGAGACGGAGGGAGTATTATTCAATTTTTATAATTTTTAAAATTATATTATTTCAATTTTACAAAAATTATATTTAATTTATTATTCTAAGTATTTTATTTTTACAATTTTTTAAAAAATTGTACTAAAATGTTATCGTACAAAAGATCGTATATAATTTATATTTTTTTAAAAAAATAGTCATTAATAATATTTCTTTATGAATTTTAAAACTGTTTTTTTTGTTGAATTAATCATTTATTTTTATTCTATTCATTCAAATAGTTGCGTTTTTTTACATTTTTCAACTAAATTATCTATTTTATCAAATAAGATAATTAATTCTAATTACCTACTCAATTTATTTTCTCTACAATTTTTTTTTCAATTTCATTCTCGAAAACAAACACCCATAAGAGTAGAAGAAGAAAAAATAAAGGAAGAGAGAAGGTTCTGGGGAAGAAATTATTTTAGTTTTTTAAGAGGGGGAAGTAATTATAGGGTATGTTTCCGCAAGCAAGTTTCTTGTCCCCTCTTGGCCGGCACTGCTGCAACGCTTGCAGCCTTTTACAATTTTCTTTTTTAAAATTAAAATATAATTTTAATTCCTGGTTGAGTTTGAGAAATTTTAGTTTGGATTTGGTATTAAAATAATCTTTGATAGGATGTTTTGTAGAGGAAAAACTGTATTTTTTTGAAAAAATCGTATAATCCAAATAGTAAAACTTGGAAAAATTAGGGTAAAGAAATATTTATTATAATTATAAGAGAAAATAAACATACAATATATATATATATGTCATTTTGTAGAGATTAAAATTTTTAATAATACAAATAAATATAATTTTATTTATTTTTATTATTGAAAATTTTAAATATATATGTTGGATATAATATAAATTTATAATCAAATCATAATATATAAATTTTATCAATTAAATTTAATATACATTTATATTATTTTATTCATTATCCATCAAATCAATACACATCAAAAACTCCCAAACACCAACCAAACTCAAATACAAAAGAAACAACAAAATCCAAACACATCCCAAAATTTAAATAAAAACCAAACTCAAATTCCTGGAACTCTCGTAAAGAAACACACCCTATATTTTGAAAAGGGGAAAGGGTAGGTGGCGGTAGGGATAATTTTGTTTATTTATTTATTTTTAAAAATAGTTTTAGGTTATTTTAGTTAAGGGGGAGAGTATAGGTTATTTTAGTTAAGGAGGAGAGTATAAATGACGAATGAATTTAAATTATTTGATATGTTCGGAAAATTTTAAAGTTTTTTTTATTAAATTAAAAAATATATAAATAATAAAGATTTGAAATTTCTAATACCTTTTAAAATAGGTTCTGATTTTTCTGAACCTTTTTATTGAAATAAAACAAATATATATAATAAAAGTTTGAAATTTTCGAGACTTTTTTAAATAGATTCGAAATTTCCAAAATTTTTGAAAACAAGTTCGACCTTCTTATTAAAATAAAATAAATATATATAAAGGTTCGGAAACTTAGAAACTATTCCAAAATTTGTATTAATGAAATATAAATAATATTACTAAAGCTTCGGAAATTCTTAGACCAATTAATAGATTTGAAAACATTCGAACTTTTTTTATTTAAAAAAAATAATATATATAATAAAGTTTCAGAAATTTCAAGATCATTTTAAATAGACTCGAAAAATTTTGAACCTTATAACAATAGTCATGGAATGGCCTCAAAATTTCCGAAACTGTTACAATAAATCATTACATAAAAAACAACCTCGGTATTTCCGAGACCAATTAATAGACTCGAAAACTTCGAAGCCTTTTTTGTTAAAAGACAATAATATATATATAATAAAATTTCAAAAATTCCGAGACCATTTAAAATAGACACGGAAAATTACGAACCTTATAGCAATAGTCACGGAATAACCTCGGAATTTTCGAAACTGATAAAAATAAAATCATTATATAATAAACAGTCTCGGAACTATTAAATTAAATAATATTATATAAAAAAATAGTCTTAAAATTCCCAAAACTATTAAAATAAAAAATATTTAATATTATTTATATTAAGTTTTAGTATTATCGGAATTAATTTTGAAACTCTTTCCGAGGCAAAAGACCAAAATTCTGGTAGTTATATATATCAAGATTAAGAAGAAAACTATTGAAGCAACACCACAAACTACAACTCACACACCACACTAATCTCCCTTTTTCATAGAATACATACGGATCTAATCAACACAAAACGCACAGATCACAATCAATTGAACAACTGAATTAAAGATCACAAAGTCACAGTTACTCTATCATCTTGGATAGGTTTACAGACCCTTCTTTTTTGTATTTTCACCAATTTGCATTCAATTCGCAAATCAAATACAGAAACAAAAAAACAAAAAAACAGAAAGTAACCGTTGAAACCGTTCTCAACAACGTTCAATCTTCTCTTTCATTTATGTAAACTCATATTATCTCTACAGCTCATCTTACTTACATCCTAGCTGTGAATCTGAGCTCAAATCCTATCAATCTCCACCTTTAGCTCATGATGAAAATACTGTGATCCTCCCTTTAACCAACTCAACCGATAACTTAACCAGTCTGCCTCAACTCCACCTCCAGTTGAAGCTGAAACACCTTCCAATCATACTACACCAATCAATTTAAGGTACATCTCAAATTTTGAAGATGGAAGTGCCTTAGTGAAACTATATGCAGGATTTACATCGGTATGAATTTTCAAAATTTTTATTTCTTCCTTTTCCACAAGGTCTCTCACAAAATACAACCTCACACCTATGTGTTTGGTTTTATCATGGTAACCTTGATACTTGGCTAAGTGTATGGCAATCTGACTATCGCAATGCACTGTCACACTCTTTTGTCTTACTCCAAACTCAGCTGATAAACCTCTTAACCACAAGCTTTCTTTAATAGCTTCAGTAAGGGCCATAAACTCTGATTATGTAGTCGAAAGTGCAACCACATTTTGGTGAGTGGTCTTCCAATTTATGGTTGTACCATAAAGAGTGAACACATATTCAGTCAATGACTTCCTTGTATCTAGATTTGATGCATAGTTTGCATCTACAAATCCGACTAGAGGCTCTGAAATTTCTTCTGTCTTCTTGAAAACTAAGCCCTTTCTGGTTCTGCCCCTCACATACTTTAGCACCCATTTAACTGCTTCCCAATGAAGCTTGCCTGGATTGATCATAAATCTGATGATAACACTCATAGCATGAGCAAGGTCCGGCCTACAACAAACCATGGAATACATGAGACTCCCAACAACCCTAGAGTATGGAATATCTGGCATATACTTGCTTTCTGACTCTGTCTTAGGCTGATGATTTGCACTTAGCTTCAAACCTTGCTTAATTGGCGTACTTACTAACTTTCACAAGTTCATATTGTATCTCAACAACACCTCTCCAAATATGAAGTTTGAGAGAGTTTAGTGATACCATGTACTTTGTTCCTCTGTATCTTCATTCTTAGGATTACCTTAGCTTCTCCTAAATCCTTCATACTAAACTCAGATCTTAGTATGTCCTTAGTGTCCAATATTCCTTCCATAGAATTACTTGCTATGAGCATATCGTCCACATATAAAAGTAAAAATACAGATACCTTACTCTCATGCTTATAGTAAACACAACTATCATGGCAGCTTCTTTTGAAACCAGATGATGTAATATAGTGATCAAACCTCAAATTCCACTATCTTGGTGATTGTTTTAACCTGTATAATGACTTCTGAAGTTTGCACGCTTTCTATTCTACATCCTTCACTTGAAACCCATCTGGAATTTGCAAAAATATTTCTTCTTTAAGGTTCCCATGTAGAAATGTCGTAATAGCATCCATTTGGTGCAATTCCCAGTCAAACTGTGTTACCAAAGCTAGTAGTAAACTTATGGAACAATGTTTAACTACGGGTGAAAAATTCTCTGTGTAATCCATTCCTGTCTTCTGTGAGAATCCTTTTGCAACTAGCCTCGTTTTATATCTCACTTGATCCGATTTATATACCCCAAACTTCTTCTTGAATAGCCACTTGCAACCAATCAGTCTCTGCCCCTTAGGTTTGTTTACAATCACCCAAGTTTGGTTCTTCAAGAGTGACTCAAGTTCCTTTTGAATTGCCACAATCCAGTTTTCCTTCTCGGTGCATGTAACAGCTTCTATGTATGTTTTTGGCTCATAATTCTCCACCTAAAGAGCAACAAATAGTGCAAAAGCCATTAGATCTCATTCTCTATACCTCAAAGGTGGGATAATCTGCCTTCTACCTCTGTCTCTTGCTAATTGATAAGTACTTAGTTGTTATGAAGTACTAATAGGTGTTAGTGTATCAGTTTCTTGTAATAGCTGATTTGGAACCTCCATTATAACTTTTTCATGAGTTTCTTCGGATGACCCTTCTTTTATAACTCCATCTTGTATCTTCATAAGATATATACTCTCATGGAAAGTTACATCTCTACTCACTATGGACCTTTGTTCTTTGCAAAGCCAAAGTTTATACCCCTTGACTCTTGGGGGATACCCTATGAAGACTTATTTAAAAGCCCTTGGCTCCAATTTTTCTTGCTTAACATGCACATAAGCCAGACAGCCTACTGACTTTAAATGATCAAATGATGGAGACACTCCAGTCCACAACTCTTTAGGAGATTTGAAGTTCAAAACTATGCTAGGGCATCTGTTAATCAGGTAAGCAGATGTATAAACCAATTCTCCCCAAAAGGACTTTGCCAGACCTGAGCTACTGAGAATGGATCTGACCGTATTTAGTAATGTGTTATTCATTCTCTCAGCTATTTTGTTTTGTTGGGGGGTTCTCGGAACAGTTTTATGTCTTGATATCCCCCTTGATTTATAGAATTTCAAAAACTCTTTTGAGAGGAACTCAAGTCCATTATCCGTTCTATAGTGTTTTGACTTTCTTCCCGGTTTTGTTTTCTACATTTGCAAGCCACTCTTTGAACCTCATGAAAGCTTTATCTTTTGTCTTTAGTAGATACACCTACAACTTCCTTGAGAAATCATCAATGAAAGTCATGAAATATTTTGCCTCTCCTTTTGTTAACACCTTGGATGGGCCCCAAAGATTCAAGTGAATGTACTCTAGTATGCCTTTAGAAGTGTGAGTTGCCATGGGAAATGGCTTTCTTTTAGATTTTCCAAAAATACAGTCCTCACACACTTCCATTCCATTCCAGAGGGTTTGCTGCCTTTTAGCTTCCCTTGTTTAATCAGCTTCGTCAAACCTTTTTCCTCTATATGGCCAAGTCTTGCATGCCAGATCATATTAAGATTCTTGCAGTTAGTCACATTACTTTCTGCAGTGACCGACTCCCCCAACAAGTAATATAATCCATCTTTTCTAACTCCTTGAATTACAACTTCATCTTCTTACGGTATTGAAACCTTTCCACTCAGAAATTTTATGACATATACATAAGAGAAACGAAGAAAATAAATATATCAAGAAAGAAAAAAAAAAAATCAACTTAATACTCAATTAGAAAACTTTACTTATAATACACATTGGTTTAGATAGTTTCCACCGTATGTTTTCATGATTTAAAAATTGTATATATTTTAAAAATTATTGCACAGAATCTTCTAAAAGTTGCATGAGATTTCAAGTGAATTTCATTTACCTTTTGCGTTATTATACTTAAAATATTTTTGTAATTTTTTTAAATTTGTACTATATTTTGATATAATAATTTATATTAAAAGATCATCCCCAAAAAGTTAATAGACTCTTACAACTGGAATGAGTTAATAATATAAAATTTCCAAACCCGTTGAGAATTATAATTTTGCACCTACAAATTTATGAATAATGATTTTTAATCTAATTATAAATTGTGAGATTATGTGATATTTGAATTTAATGATTCACATTATTTAATATTTTATATTTAATTTTATTTAGGATATTGTATTGTTTTATACGTATTTTTTTTCAGACAACAGACTATTGACGACAATAACGTTAACAAATTATCTCTTTTTCGCCATAAATATGAATTTCTTTCCTTTTAAATTTATTTTGATTTTCAATTTAAAATGAATTATGAATATTTTGGTTCTTATACATACCTTGGATGCCAGAAAACAATAATATTTCTTTCATTTATACTATTACATGACTTCTTGGTGCACATGCTATGCTGTGGAAATTAAATAGAATAGCGAAACTGCATGCATCGTGTGTTTAAATATATTATTAACCAAATGTATTTTATTCATTCTACCATTATTATTTGGAAACGTGAAGGCATGTGCTTCTATGTGTTATATTTGTATGTATATATTCATCCCAAGTTGTTTCGTCTTGTCTTGGCAAGTCAACTGCAAGAACTTCTTCGATCACTCTCTACGTCTCTTGAGTTGAATTGGAACAAACTGTGTTGCTTGCTTTGCAATGGCAGCTTACGCAGCTCTGGCTTCGCTTATGAACACCATCACCATGGAAAAGAATCCAAGATATCATCCTCACCGTCGGATCATCATCGACGACAGAGGACTCATTGAGGATCTGCAGCAAAGGGTCGATTTCCTTGTCAAATTTCTTCAAAGTGGGCAGAAGGGAGCAGAGCATTTGGAGCAGCAGATTGCCGATGCAGCTTATGCAGCCGAGGATGCAATCGAGTCTTATGTTGTTGATCAAGTTCTACCTGTTGACTCCTGTCGAAACAAGAACAGATCTGCTCTCCTGTGCGAAGATTTAGAGAAAATAATACATGAGATGGATTTGATCGAGGAGAAGGTGCTGCTGAAGAAAGCTGCTGGAATTAGTCCGATGTTGTCAGGATCATCGAGTGAGCCCACACATGGCCAAATGCCAGAAATTAATGAGCCGCATCCGGCGACATGCTCGACTTCCACTGATTCTTCGAATGCTAAAGTACTTGTCGGATTTGAGGATGAAAGAATTAAAGTAGTCAATAATCTTACACGGGGAGTTTCTCGCCGAGCTGTTATACCACTAATAGGGATGGGCGGGTCGGGTAAGACTACGCTTGCTAAAACTATCTACAACGACAAGGATATAGCGCAACATTTTGATATTCGTGCTTGGGTAACGGTATCTCAAGATTATAACACTGAGAAAATTCTTCAAGCCATTTCTGGGGAAAAGTATTCGGGGAATGATGAAAGTTCGGGAGATCAAGTACATAGAAGGCTCTTCGGCCGGAGATATTTGATTGTTCTTGACGACATTTGGAGCATTGAAGCATGGAATGAGATACAAAGATTCTTTCCCAACAATGATAATGGAAGTCGAATTATGGTGACAACAAGGCTTCTCACTTTTGCCATAGATGCAGGAGCTTCTTGTGTAATGATGAAGCCGTTAGACGAAGCCGACAGCTGGAAATTACTTTGTAGAGCCGTGTTTGGCGAAAATAATGTTTGTCCTCTCGAATTGGCGCAGAGTGGTAAGAAGATTTCGCGAAGTTGTAAAGGACTTCCTCTAGCGATTGTAGTCATTGGAGGATTACTTGCGACGTCGAATGAAAGAAATTATTGGGAGCATGTCGCCAAACTATCCGGCGCTGCTATACAATTGGATGAGAGTTCACGTTGTCTCGAAATATTATCGTTGAGTTATAATCACTTACCCGTTCACTTGAAACCGTGCTTTCTTTACATGGGAGTTTTTCCGGAAGATTATTCTATTCCGGTTTCGAAGCTCATCAAATTATGGATTTCCGAAGGTTTTCTAATACCAGCTGAAGGGAAAAGCTTGGAAGACATTGCTGAAGTATACTTATGGGATCTTCTTGCAAGAAATCTCATTACAGTTCGGCGCATGAGTTCTCAGAGGAAAGTCGAATCTTGTGGCATCCATGATCTTTTGAGAGAGTTTTGCTTGAAGGAGGCTGTAAAGGAGAATTTCCTATGTGTAATAACATCGGCTCACCTTACTAATCCCCCGAGCATGAATCATCAGCGCCGCATTGCCGTGATGCTAAACACGTCGAAAGCAGAGGAATACCCGTATCTTATGGATTCATTGCTATCAGCACCAAATCCTCGTACACTTATTGTGCAGAATTACGAGGGATTGTCAAGGGTGATGGGATCTCCTACTTTCAAATTGTTGAGGGTATTTTTTGTAATCGGCGATTATCACGACGAAGAAGTAATAAAGCGCGAATCCATCTCGAAGGTTTTGTTTGATCTAGTGAATTTGCGGTACCTATCTTGTAAACCCGACGAGGAGTTTATGAATATGTTGGCGTCGTCGGTAGGTCTCTTGGGAAATCTCCAGCTTCTAGCCATAGAGAACTACATGCATTCTCCGAATGGGACGCCCGAGATTTGGAAACTGCCTCATCTTCGTCATCTTGAATTCGAAATTATTTCTCTCCCTGAACCAGCATTGGACGAACAAGAACAAGAAGATGACACTATCTTACAACATTTGCAGACATTACAACAATTGTTAAACTTCAGACTTGGGGAAGGGATCATGAAGAAAATTCCGAATACGAAGAAATTGGGGCTATGGTACAACGCAAAGTTTGGCAAGCGCAAGAAGTTGTCGGAATACAGTTTCCACAACATTCATCGTTTGCAGAACCTCGAATCCTTTGTATGCACTTTCTTCTATCCTCCAGCTAGAAATGAGTTGCTACAAAGTCTGGAAAACTTACCACATTCCCTTAGGAAGTTGTCTTTGAGGGGCTGTCGACTCTTATGGAAAGATATGAGTGTGATCGGTTCGCTACCGGTTCTTGAAGAGCTTGAACTGAAAATGAATTCGTTTCGAGGGCGAATGTGGGATCCGGTGGACGGGGAATTTCTTCGACTGAAAATTCTCATAATGCACGGCATTGGTGGCCTTAGACATTGGAATGCCGATAAAACACATTTCCCGCGCCTCGAGCAACTTATTCTTTATAATACGCGTGATTTGAAGGAAATACCTATGGAGATCGGAGACATATCGACACTGTGGCTGATCGAATTAAGCGATTGCTCGGATACATTAGTCATTTCAGTTAAGGAGATTGTTCAGGAGCAACAGGAGTTGGGAAATGATAAACTTGAAGCTAGAGTAACTCTTGGAAGAGATAGCAAACTATCAGGTGCAGAGCTGGAAGGGGACAATTTTATGGTCGACACAGGGTAAGATATAGATCATTTCATCGATATCTTTTTCTTTAATTTCATCGTTAAGCTTTAATTTCAAATTCATGGATTGACTATGGGGTGTTTTGGGAACAGCTCAATGTTCGATAAATTAACTTTTTGAAACATAGTATATGTTAGCGATTCAAATTTCAAATTCATGCATTCACTATGGGGTGTTTGGAAAACAACTCAGTGTTCGGTAAATTAGCTTTTTGAATCGTAGTATATCTCAGGGTTTCAAAATAACTCTTTCATTTTAATTTTTTTTATTCCGTGTTTACCTTAAAAATTAATCTTTCATTTTACACGCATTAATATATTTCTTATCGTAATACGTATGTCCGGCTCTAAGGATCTCATTTACTTTTTGCGTGTTGATATTTGAATATTAATTATTATTATATGAAAATGTAGTACAAATTAAAGGAAAATAACAAAAATATTTCTATTAGTATGTTATAATACTGAAATTTGTGCAAAAAAATTATACAAATATAAAGAAATATTTAATGTTAAGTACAATGACCAAAAGGTAAACTAGACCCTTGAAGCCAAATGGAGGGAATAATATTTATTAATTATGTTAATATATACTTTTAATTAACTTTTAAATTTACTTTTATAAATTTTATAAAATTGATATTATTATTGATTTATTTATATATACTATATATTGTAAAAATAAAATAAAAATGACATTCATTGTCATTTAACGTATAAACAACTAATATCAAACTATTATTTTACAGCACACTTTAATACAAGCCGTTAACCGAATGAGCTAACGTCTAATCGTTAATTGACAAACACTCTCTCTCTATATATATATTCTTTATGTTTACGAACTTGTATTTTCCTGATTGTTGTACAGATTTCAAAACCCCAGCATGGAACACGAAAGCAATGATGAAGAATCTCCAGCTTCTGAGGAGGACTCCGATGGCGATGGTCTGGATGAATTGACGCCATCTGAGGTACCTCAAAAACATTAATTATGTGTGTATTTCTAAAGAAACTCTGGTTTTAAGACACCATATATTCTTTTTTTCTACCATCTCTTCGAAACCAGAAATGCAATGCAGAGGACTATGGCAGCGATCACAACGACAATGATGACGACGACGACGACGACGAAGATAACGACGACAGCAATGATGGACTAATGGCCCAGGTATGATACAGACAAACTAGAATGGCTCTGAGAGTTTGATCTTTGATTTGAATGCTCTAAAATAGTTCAAAAACTTTAGATTGTGCAGCATTCATTTTTTTTTTTTTTCGTATGCTTGAGTAAATTATTAAACTAAATATTTTATATACCTATTTGTATTTTATTTTATTTTATTTTTATTTTTTGCATATTACATTAATTTTATCCATCGAGAATAACATTCTTGTTCTATATGGTTTTAACTCGACAGATTTTGGCTCTTGGGATTATGGACATTGTTGGGTGAGCTTTGTTCTAAAATGAAATCCACTTGTGCAGGTGAAAAATTATGTCAATTAATATTTTATTATTTTGTTACTCATTTGCTTAGTCATCTGTGTGATTCGATAGAGTCTTCTGTCAATTTTTTAATCATGTGTGACACAGCAATTTTAACATAATTTAATTGTTTAAATGGTTGTTGTTCTAAACTGTTAACTTTTTACTTTTAATAATAAAGCTATTTGTTGAACTAAGATTATTAACATATTGTAATTAAAATGAATTTTATAAAGTTATCTTTTTATGTCATATATTTCTAGAGTTCTTCAGTTTATAGTTTCAATAAGATTGATGAGATCGTCAACATGTATGTGAAGATGATCATAATTTTTATTATCTATTTTTTTTTTTTTTTTTGAAAATACAATGAAAAATATATTGTCATTTAAGGATTTGTTTTTTTTTTTTTTAATTCAATTTTGTCTAAGATATTTATACCAAATTTAGTCCGATTGTTTGAGTTTTGGTTAACATGATTCACAGATTATAAATTCCTCTAATTTTTTTCATTGAGACACCATTTTTAAATGAGCTATAAAAATAGACAATAATCATATCAATTAATCACATTGAGATTTTGTATACTCATAGGTTTACATCCATAATTAACTATTTTAGGATCGATGTGTGCTTCAATTTTTCGGACCTCTGATGGGAGGTACCACTCTCATCATGTGTTTCACCATGACATGTCCATCGCTTGTACTGTCTTACGAAATCCTTAGTGTATAGATGATACTTAACCTCCTCGATCAGAAGAAATGGAGCATTCGCACAACACTTACATGGACACTTTATCTTCCGTTTGATCTTATATTAAATCATCTACTCCAGTCATAATATTCCTAATCAAAATTACATTATACATTTTGTTGTACATCCAAGATCTTTCAATACTAGTCGTAGCAACAGTATTTTCATATAAGACCGTGCATAGATTCAATATATATAAGACCAGTGTTGAGGGATTGATTTTTATTTTTATAAAGAGTTGTGAGGGACCATATTAAACAGGCGCTATCATCTCCTCAAGTGTTAATATTGTTGATAAGTATAAGGGAGCTGAAGCTGTACAAGGCCGCAACCGACGATACAACGGGCTGCCTCCTTGCCCAAGATGATGATGAAGGTCGAGAATGAGCTATTTATTATCCTAGTAAGACCTTAAATAATGCTAAAACTCGTTATTCGTGTACTGAAAAAAATTATTTATTATATAATGCATGCACAAAATTAGAGGAATATTTTATGCCGATTGAAAGTAAAGTAATATACAGAGCGACCTTTTACACTATTTATTAAACATGTTAGTCCTCCGAGGCCGTTTAGTTGAATAAGCACTGAAATTAGCATCGTTTGAATTAACATACCAGCCTCTTAAGGCCGTGAAAGGACAGGTCATCGCAGATTTCTTGACCGAACATCCTGGGATGATTCAGACCGTTCCTTTGGACTCTGTGGGGTTGGAACCTTAGCTGGTGACTTTTAATGGGTCTAGCACCTCGAGAGCAGCCGAAGCAGGCGTGGAAATCTCTAGTCCAAAATGAGAAGTTTGGTGCTTTTCCCATCAAATTCCGCAAGGCGTCATGAACAACCAAGCCGAATATGAGGCCCTACTATTAGTATTGCGATTCTTGGTCGCCAAAGATGTTGAGAAGGTCGTTATTCGAGAAGATTCTCAGCTGATTATCCGACAGGCCCTCAAAGAATTCAAGTGCAAGAAACCACAGCTTCAGGACCTTCTTCGAGAAGCTCACAATGTTCTTCAGCAGCTCACGAGGGTGATATTGGAGAATATACAACGGGAGGAGAATTCAGAGGAAAAAACTAATGGTATAGTGGCTTCCTGATACCATCCGATTGTGTATAATTATACGGAAAGTATTATTCTTATCCACAAAGTTCAATAAAACTAATGGATTCAGGAATATGGATGAGAAAAAATAAAAAAGAATGAAGAAGAAAAGAATGTGAATTAGTATAGATGATAACCAACCACGAGAATACGTCTCGGACCTGAAATCAAATCATAGGCTAAAATACAAACAATAGGCTAAATCTCATTGCAAATGAATGAAAGCCACGAACCGGTGGAATCACTCTAAAAACCCGATTTGAGACTCTAAATGTGATAAAATCACTCCATAACACTAGAAAAATATAAAAATGAAATGTGATTCAATATGTAAAAAGTTCTCATTACAAAAATAGGCAAAGACCTTATATAAAGGTTCTTGAGAAAATAAAAGGCAAAAAATTATAAAGAAAACAAATCAAAAGGTAAGTCTAACTATAAGAAAATAAATAATAAGGAAAGTTCTAAATATAGAATTATATATATGAAAGCTTATAATAAAAGAAAATCTATATTAAGGTAACTTCTAAAAGTTTCCGCAAGTGATGATTGTCTTGATTATCTTCCGTAATTTTTAATTCTCTTGATAATCTTCAGTAATGAACGATTCTTTTAATCTTTCAATTCCAATTCTTGCGGGTCCCATTGAAGTAGTGTCAGGTGAGGGCTAAATGGTCTCCAAAAATCATCTTTAAATTAATTCTCCATGATAAATCGTTGGATCAATGCAGTGATGGATTCTTAAAACTGATGAGCTCGGCTTTGAGTGATGGGTCCCACGGGCATTTGAATCCTAGAAGATTGGACGTCCACGTCATTCCCTTCTTCTTGAAAAGCTTTCTTGTTCTCCCAACCAAGATATTCATCCGCTGCATAAAAAAGGCTTAAGTCAGAAACATTAAAAGTAATATGAACTTAGCACTCACCTGGAGTTCAAGTTTGTAGGCATTATCATTAATGTGTTCCAACATTTGAAATGGCCTATCGTCACGGGAGTAAGTTTTTATTTTCGCAATTCTGAAAATCTTTCCTTCCTTAAGTATAGCCAAACTCAATCTTTTATCTCGTATATAACTTTCTTGTACCCACGGTTAGCTTATTTTGCGTAATTATCAACTACCTTTGGTAGATGATCCCGAAAGTATGAATGATATTGTTGGAAAAATTCAGCCATTTTTCTGCCATAAAAAATAACATGTTCATTGCGTGGTAGTGACATAAGATCAGGAGGAGTTAATGGGTTAACATTTTAAACAACAGTAAACAACCTCAAATGGAGAACAATTCGTAGAGCTATGAATCGTACGGTTATATGCAAATTCAGCATGAGCTAAACATTCTTTCCAACTCTTTAAATTCTCATTAACTAACACATGTAACAAGCTACCCACAGTTCGATTAACAACTTCAGTTTGACCATCAATTTGTGGGTGGTGTGATATGGAAAATATTAATTTTGTACTTAATTTAGCCCAAAAGTATTTTCCAAAAATAGTTTAAAAATCGAGAATCTTTATCAAAAACGATGGATTGCGGAACACCATGCAATCTAAGAATTTCTTTGAAAAATAATGAAACAACATGCAAAGCATCAATGGTTTTTGTGCATGGAATAAAATGTGTCATTTTTCTAAAATCGATCAACCATAACAAAAATTGAATCTTTACCAGACCTACTCCTAGGCTAACCTAATATGAAATCCATAGAAATATCAACCTAAGGCGATTCAGGAATAGGTAGAGGAGTATACAAACCATGTGGATGAACAGTAGACTTCGAATAGAGGCATGTTATACACCGATGAATTGCGGCTTCAACTTCAACTTTCATTCTTGGCCAAAAAATATATTATTGCAGCAGATTAAGTGTCTTGTTCCTACCAAAGTGTCCCAACAAACCTTAAGAATGATTTTTCCAAATCAATCATTCTCTCGAAGAGCATTTAGGCACGCACAATTTATTTTCTCGCAGAAAATACCCATCATGTACATGATATTTTTCAAATGTATGTGATTACATTTAGCAAATATATCAGAGAAATCAGGATCAGTTACATATAATTCTTTCAAATACGAAAAACCTAATAGCTTAGACTCAAATGTGGTAACAAGAGCATACATGTGTGACAATGCATCCGCGATGATATTTTCCTTAACCTTTTTGTATTTAATAACATAGGGAAAAGTGTCAATTAAAAAGATCCATCGGATGTGTCTCGTACTCAACTTACTTTGAGATTTGATATGCTTGAGAGATTCATGATCGGTGTACACAACAAACTTACGAGGATGTAAGTAATGTTGTCATGTTTGCAAAGCCCACACTAAGGTGTACAATTCATTATCGTATGTTGAGTAATTCAAGGCAGCGCCATTTAGCTTTTTACTAAAAAAAATACAACGGGTCTCTTTTCTTGAGAAAGGACGGCATCAATACCTATTCCAGAAGCATCACAATCAAATTCAAACAGTTTAGAGAAATAAGGTAAAGCAAGTACGAGTGCACATGTAAGTTTCAATTTTAAAGCATCAAAAGCATTTTGTTGTTCACCTTTCTACTCAAACTTATCCTTTTTTTTTTGCTAATTACAGTTAAGGGTGCTGCAATAGTGCTGAAGTTCGGCACAAATCGACGGTAGAAACTTGCAAGACCATAGCAACTGATTATGTACGCTTGTAGATATGGGTCACTCTTGGATAGCTGCAAGCTTCACAGGATCTACACATACTCCATTTTTTCCTACAATAAAACCCAAAAAGTTGCACTTTTCGACATAAAAGTCGCATTTTTTTAAGTTAGCATATAACTTTTCAATCCGTAAAATATCTAAAACTACTTGTAAATGTTCAGCAAGTGTTTCAATAGAAGTACTATAAACAAGTATTTAATCAAAGTATACTACCACAAACTTATTCATAAAATTCTTTAAAATGTGATTCATCAATCGTATGAATGTGTTTGGGCCATTAGTAAGGTCCAATGGCATAACTAACCACTCATATAGACCAAAAGAAGTCTTGAAGGTAGTTTTTCATTCATCATCTTGATTCATCGGATTTGGTGATAGTAACTTTTTAAATCAATTTTTGAAAAAATTACATAACCACACAAATTATCAAGCATGTCATCTAATCTAGGAATCGGATGATGATACTTAACTGTTATAGCATTGACGCCTCGGCAATCCACACATATGCGCCAACCTCCATTTTTTTTTTTTTGCACCAATAGGACAGGTACAATACAAAGACTTAGACTTTCACGAATCCAACATTTGCTTAGTAGATCCTCCACTTGCCTTCGTATTTTATTCACCTTATTCGGGTTGGCTCAATAGGCTGGCTGATTTAGGAATTGATGCTCATGGGAAAAAATCAATTTGGTATTCAATTCCACGAGTGGGTGGTAAACCATGGGATACATCATCACATCATCAAAAAAAATAAATAAATTCCAGCCAAATAGTTAAATTTATTTTGTATAAATATAGACCCTACTCGCATAATTCATATTCACTCTCTTATTATCTTCTCTTCACTTGATGTGATCGATGCTGATAATGGGTTCCGGTAATCATCTATTGATCACATGGACATTTCTATAGAATCCTCTCACACAGACAGAAAACAGATATTTCGTACCGAAGAATTTAGGAAGCTTCTAGACATTGCGGAGAATCATCATATTACTGCAACTAATTCAAAATCTCATAAGCGTTTTTAAAGGTGTAATCACAATTAGTACGGCGCCGTTTTCACTTCACCGCAATCCCTTGGCGGCCAAAAATCCAAGCACCGCCCCAAACCCATATTTATTTTCTGGGAATCAATGCGGCCTCACAAGTGTCCCATTTGCGGTGCAAGCTTCCCCACGGGTCAAGCCCATATTGGTCACAAAACCCTCCATCATCATCCCCAAGCTTTGTCTTATGCCCCATCCCTATCGTTCATGTCCAATGAGAGACTCCACAAATGCCCAATTTGCAACGAAGATTGTACCCTAGGAAAAGGTCTCCTTATGCTTAAGCACTACGAAGTCAATCTCACCCGTGCAGCTAAAAGGCAACAGACAATAGATTCCTTCACATCCGCTAGGTCGATCTCTTCTTCTTCTTCATTGAAGCCCCTCCTCAATATTGATTTCAACAAGTTTTCGGAAATATCTTATTTTTTTGAAGATGTCGTCCCTTTCTGGAAGGAACTCAATGCTGCTGTTGTTGCTATCCCGAGAATAAGGCACTACCGGAAATCGATTATCCGCTCGTCATTCTGGTGCTACCGCCGCCACTGATTCAGTCAGTGGAAATTTTCACTGAAGAATAGTCGGTTTCGTCTAGAATCACAAATAGAGAGAGACTAAAGAAAGTGAAGGCCTAGGCTTGTTTGTTAGGCTTCTATTATTCAATTCAAATACAACGGAATAATTAATTATTTCATTTGTGTTATGTAATAATAATAATATAATATTATTATTGGTAAGTATGTATATATACATATGATTGTACTATCTAATAGTAGTATATATTAATATATCTATGTATATAATATAATATATATAGTTAATGTAATAAAGAGAGAGTAGTGTGAGATAAATTGTAATGCAGTAAAATGATTCTTCTATCCATTTCCTTCATTCATATGTACAGATATATATAGGCAACATATAGGTGAATGGGTGGATATAATGCATCCATATAAACAACATATAACATCTACGTATCTAGTACGTATTGCCTTGTAGGTGTTGCAAATTTTAACACTCACCCTTGAATGCGTTATACAAAGAATGTGCCTTGTTAAAACCTTATTATGAAAAACCCCTGTGGAAAAAAATCATAGTGAAGGAAAAAGAGTACAACATTCATGTATTAATACATTTCCACTGTTTTGGACTTTACTTGATTGATGTCTTTCATCCGACGCATTCCAATTTCTTGCACCAATTTGTTGAATGTTGGAGTCGGTAGCGTCTTTGTAAACAAATCTGCAAAATTTTTAGACGATCGAATTTGTTGCACAAACCACTTTTATGAAGATCGTGAGTGAAAAAAAATTTCGGAGATATGTGCTTTGTTCGATCGCCTTTTATATATCCTCCATTTAACTGAGCTATACAAGTTGCATTATCTTCAAATAATATTATAGGAGGTAATACATCATCAAAAATCAAGCCACAATTTTTCTGAATATGGCAAGTCATGAACCTCAACCAAACGCATTCACGACTAGCTTCATGAATTGCTAAAACCTCAGCATGATTTGAAGAAGTAGTTGTTATTGTCTGTTTAGCAGATCTCCAAGAGATTGCGGTTCCACCACAAGTAAATAAATAGCCAGTTTCAGATTTTGCTTTATGTGGATTAGACAGATAACCAGCATCAGCATAACCAATTAATTCATTTCGAGATTCACTCGAATAAAATAAACCGAGGTCATGAGTCCCCTACAGATAACCAAAAATGTGCTTGATAGCATTCCAATGGCGTTTTGTGGGGGATGCGCTAAACCTGGCTAGTAGATTCACTGAAAAAAGATATATCTGGTCTTGTACAATTTGCACGGTACATTAATGAGCCAATAGCACTGATATATGGTACCTCGGGGCCAAGTATTTCTTCATTTTTTTTTTGGCCTAAATGAATCTTTACTGTGATCAAGGGATCTGACTACCATTGGTGTACTCAGAGAGTGAGATTTATCCATATAAAATTGTTGTAATACCTTTTGGGTATATATGGATTGATGGATAAATATTCCGTTGTCCACATGATCCACTTGTAATCCCAAACAATATTTTGTCTTTCCAAAAGACGTATGTACATATTGGATCATTAGTATAACCTTCTTTTATTAAACATTCACTAAGACGGTTATACCACATTCGCCTGATTATTTAAGTCCATAGAATGACTTTTCAATTTGATGGAATATGATTCATTTAAGTTTAATTTGTATCCTTCAGGCATATTGAATCTGTCAGGAACTTTCATATAAATATCAGTATCCAATGAGCCATAAAGATATGCAGTAACTATGTCTAAAAGACGCATATCGAGCTTTTCTCGCACTGCTAGACTCACAAGGTATCTAAATATTTATTCCATCAACAACCGGAGAGTATGTTTCATCAAGATCTACTTCAGGTCTTTGTGAAAATCCCTGAGCTATAAGACGGGTTTTATATCTCACAATTTCATTATGCTCACACCCATTTGTATCCAACTGGTTTTATACCATATGGTGTTTAAACAATTGGTCCGAAGACTTCTCTTTTGTTTAATGAGTCAAGCTCTGATTGAATCGCATGTTCCCATTTTGGCCAATCATTTCTTTGCCGACATTCATGAACCGATTTTGGCTCTGGATCCTCATTTTCTTCCATTATATCAAGTGCTAAACTGTATGCGAAGGCATTATCGATAATTGCCTCTTTACGGTTCCAACATTTTCTTGAAGTAACATAGTTATTTGAGTTTTCAATAATCTCATCATGTTCTTCAAGATCGTTCTCTTCTGGAGCAATTATTTCAGGATTGACTTCCTCATTAGATTGAGGTTTTTCAATGTCATTCATGATATTTTCATGATTATCATCATTCATTCATCTTTCTTTCGAGGATGTTTGTCTTTGGAACCGAGTGGTCTACTACGCTTTAAGCGTGTCACTGATTCATTAGCACTTCCAATTTGTCCATCAGGGACAATTAATTTAGTCGGAGTATTAGCAGCTTGGATATATGATCGAGTGACTTTGCTTAAGTCATTGAAAGCATCCGGTAACTGATTTGCAATATTTTGCAAATGTATAATGCGTTGAACTTCTAGTTCACACTGCTTTGTACGAGGATCACAAAAATTCAATGGGATTTTCCAATTAATATCATTTTTCGGTTCATTTATGTCTCCCCCTAATGTTGGAAAATATGATTTGTCGAAATGACAATCTGCAAATCTTACACTGAATAAATCACCCGTCATAGGTTCAAGATATTTTATAATTGACGGCGATTCATATCCGACATAAATTCTCAATATACGTTGAGGACCCATTTTTGTATGTTTGGGAGGTGGAATAGAAATATAAACAGTACACCCAAAAATACGTAGATGAGATATATTTGGTTCGTGACCAAATACTAACTGCATTGGGGAATAGCTATGATAGCTTGTCGGCCTCATTTTTATAAGTGTTTCTGCATGTAATATTGCATGCCCCCAAGCTTAAACGGGCAACATAGACCTCATTAGTAATGGTCTAGAAATCAATTGCAATCTCTTAATAAGTGATTCTGCCAGGTCATTTTGTGCATGAACATGAGCAACTGGGTGATCTATATTAATTCCAATCGACATGAAATAATCATCAAATGCATTCGATGTATATTCACCAGCATTATCCAGATGTATAGTCTTAATTGGATTATCGGGGAATTGTGCCCGTAATTTAATAATTTGGGCAAGCAATATCGCAAATGCCATATTGCAAGTAGATAATAAACAGACATGGGACCATCTCGTAGATGCATCAATAAGCACCATAAAATATTTAAATGGCCCACACGGTGGGTCTATTGGTCCACATGTATCCCCGTGTATTCTTTCCAAAAATGTAGGTGATTCGATACCTGCTTTAGCTGGCGATGGTCTGGTTATCAATTATCCCCGAGTGCAGGCAATACATGTTAACTCATTTGAGTTTAATACTTTTTGACCTTTCAATGAATGACCATGCGCATTCTCAATTATTTGCCTAATCATTATACTGTCAGGATGCCCAAGGCGATCATGTCATATTTGAAAATCGGTAATCTTTTGATCTACTGTGAGGTGTGTTTCAACAACACCTAATCTGGCGTAATATAAGACAGTAGAGAGTGAGGGTAATATCTCAATGATGCATTTCTTTTTATCAATGATATTGGTGATCAATAAAAATTCACTATCGGTATCACTCATAGTTTCAATGTGATAACTATTTTTTTGAATGTCCTGAAAGCTCAGTAAATTTCTTCGAGTTTTAGTGGCCAACAGTGCATATTGTATCACAATGTTCGTCCCCGCAGGGAGAAATATAATGGCTTCTCCAGAGCCTTCAATTAATTTCGTACTGCCACTTATTGTATTGACATTCATTCTTTCTATTTTCAAATGGGAGAAATATTTTTCGTGTTTCAATATGGTATGTGTCATTGCATTGTCAATGAAACACATATGTGCATCATTTTGATTAGCATCAATTTAACCTTCAAATATAAATAAACGCAGTATTAATAAAGGCATATATAAGTATTACAAAATACATTACAAAATGGTAGTATGCGATAATTTAAATATTACAAAATGTAAAATGACATAATATGTCTGTCACTGGGGGTTTGCTGGATCTACGACAAAATCCGCTATATCAAGATATGTTGTGTTGTAATCCAGAAGATCATCATCAGGGTCGTCATCGTTATCAACGTGATTAGTCTCGACCTCTTTCCCTTTTTTTTGCAGTAAGGCTTGATAAAGATCGGCTAGGTGTTTGGCTGTTCTGCAGGTATTGGCCCAATGGCCTTAATGCCACACCGATTACAAATGCCGATTTGCTTCTTTCCCTGTTTAGCCTTTTCGGATATATCCCCATATTGGGGTTTACTCTACTTCCTGTCAATATCAATACCGCGGTGATTATAAGGGGTGTATCGACCGCGTTGACTCTCACGACCGCGACCACGTCCATGGCCTCTACCACGTCCTCGGCCTCATTCAGAAAATATCACGTTCACTTCATGGAACGGACTGAAACTAATGGGCCGGGAATGATGATTTTTCATCAGTAACTCATTATTTTGCTCAGCTAATAAAAGACATGCAATGAGCTGTGAGTACTTTTGAAAATTTTTCTCGCGATACTCTTCTCCAATTTATCATTCTCAGTAACAATTTCTCCGCAGAGTTTCAACTAAGATGTAATCTGATGGATAGCAGAGTTGTACCCTGTAACAGTTTTAAAATCCTGCAATCGCAGGTTAAGCCAATCATGTCGGGCTTTGGGGAGAGTGATATATTTCAAGTGCCCAAATCTCTCCCTCAATTCATTCCACAAATCTAGTGGATCTTTCACCGTCAAATATTCAGAATACAAAGGAATGTCCAAATGATGATGGATGAAAATAATAGCCTTAGCCCGATCTTGGCTTATAGTCGTATTTTCACTGGCAATTGTATGAACAAGGCCCGTAGAAACCAGATGTATTTCTACATCCAGGGATCAAGTCAGAAAATTATTGCCGGTGAGAGACAGAG